TGGCATTCCTGTTTGAGGTGCAGTGACGTTTAAGGGCCCGGAGATCATGAGCATCCAGTAGAGTTTTACGACCTTGACCCCTACGCACAGTGATTGTTCCAGATTCTCTGAATCTTTTGATGATGTTATGCACTGTTGATGATGATAACTTAAAAGTCTTTGCTATTTTACACTGGGTAACATCCTTCTGGTATTGCTGCACTGTCTTTCTGCGCAACAATGGTGGAATTGGTGATCCTCTTATCATTTTGGCTTCTGAGAGACACTGACACTCTGAGAAGCTCTTTTTATACCCAATCATGTTGTCAATTGACCTAATTAGTGTTAATTGGTCTTCCAGTTGTTCATTTTATGCTCAATTTACTTTTACCAGCCACTTATTGCTACTTGTCCCAACTTTTTTGGGATTTATTGACACTGTGAAATTTTGAATCAACATATTTTTCCTTTAAAATGTTACATTTACTCAGATTAAACTTTCGATCTGTCATCTGTTATATTACAAATAAAATATTGACATTTGCCTTCTCCACATCATTGCATTCAGTTTTTATTCACAATATGTTTAGTGTCCCAACTTTTTGGAATCCGGTTTGTACACTGTATACATATATACACACACACATATATGTATGCACATTTTTCTCAGAACAAAAACAAGTAAACAATTCTAAAGATTAACAAGGGATGTAAGTCAAGAGCCAACACTAAAGATCATATCAAAGTCAACCTAATACAAGCAAGAAACAAAGTAGATGACCTTTTTGTAGGGGATCATATAATTTAAAAACAAATATATCTTTGGACATCTGGCTGCTCAGGTGGTCAGACCAAAATATTGGTTTGAGCATTTCTAAATCTAGAACATACATGGTTTTCCAGTCCAAACAACTTTTAATGGGGCATTATCAAAACTTAAAATCAGACATTTTGAACAATTTTCATCTATCAGAGAAAAATCTTAGAAATGTTATTTTTGGTTGTAGTTGTAGATATAGCACCTACCTTCCTCATCAGGATAACAAAATGGGTTGAGTGGGTACGTTTGATGGTCATCATCAGTCTCATCAAAAGGATTTTTATTAATAGCTGAAACAGTTTCCTGATCTTCATCCTCCATGAAGTTCAGCTTGTTAATCAGCTCTGTCACCAAAGAGTCCAAAGAAGAAAAAGAAAAAACAAATCACTTATTTAAATCAATTATAAACTATAGTCAAAAGGTCTAAAATGCAAAAAAATAAAAATAAAATAAAAACCTCAAACCCAAATATACCCAAAATCTGCACTTGGGAGTGAACCATTCATTCTTATATCAAGTGCTCCTTCTAAACTCTGATGCAATCCTCAGCCTCACTTGTCAGAGCATTTACAACAATTCAGTTCAATTCAGTTTATTTATATAGCGCCAAATCACAACAAAGTTGTCTCAGGGCACTTTACAGGAACATTCACATACATAAGAGCCAATTAGTAAAGTTCTCTATCTAAGGAAGCCAGCAGACAAGTTGAATCTTGACTTTGTTGCAGTCTCCCATCCTGAGCAAGCACAACGGCAACAATGGAAAGAAAAATTCCCTTTTAAAAGGAAGAAACCTCCAGCAGAACCAGGCTCAGGACAAGTGGCCATCTGCTTTGACCGGCTGGTTAGAGAGGATAGAAAAGAGAGACAAACAACACAGAATGGAAGGTCCAGATATAGGTCCAGGTGTACAACAGTGGAATTCTGGGAAAAATTGTGCAGTATTGAAGGGTGCACTGGGAGGCTGAAGAAAGCATGGAGTTGCTATGGAGATCCTGGCTGGAGATCCTAAAGACTTGTCCACTTTGTCTTCATCATAACTGCTGCAGCTCAATTCCTGGCTGCCAGGGTGAGGGTCAGTTTGAAAAGATTGTAAATGTAATTGAGATAGATGCCAAGAATTGCTTCTGAGAGCTTTAAAAAAAACAGAATGGTGGGTGGGGGTGTGGGGGG